TTACGTCGTGAATGATGTAGACTAGTTGGTGATCACAGTAAGGTGACCAAAAAAAGTAAAGATACCTGTTGCTCATCCTTGATAGCCGTTGCTACACTCGGTTCTATAAACATAGCTGCTTTTCTACAAATCATTCAGTTTCATCATTATCCAACGCTTTACGAACGAACATTAGGCATCTTACACCAGAATCCGTTCAGCAATATACGGTTTTAGTACAACCAGATTTAAAGATAATTTCAGCCGCAAATACCTTGACTGAACTAGGTATCGAATCGTATTAGAATTTGGGTTTTTGATCCCTTTATTACAAGAGATAAGCCGAATCTATGTTTCGAAGCCTAAATGTTCGGTTATTTTTTCAAGAAATTGTATTCTAATTTTGGGATTTCTTAGACTTAAAGTGTTCTGGGATTTACACTTTCAAATTGGATGTTAGACTGTTGAAATCGGTATAAAAAATGTTTAGTATTGTATTGCGCTATTATTAATATTTATTTACATTACTATTTTAGCTAAATAACTATGCAGCACTAAAATAATTGTTTCATAATATATGTTTAAAAAAACCGACTTCAATCCTCTCTTTATTGGAAGTCGGTAATACACTATAAGTTTTTCCTAACTGTAACAAACACTTTCCTGAGAACTCCATTAGAAAAGGTCAAGCCAATCGTGAGATAATTCGCGGAGAACCTAACGGGTAACCGGGGCTCCGGTTCGACGTGTAGGAGAAGGAACGGGGTGGTTTTTAGTCAGTAAGAGTCTGACACTCCCTCCCGCCTCACCCAGGCGGGAGCAGTCAATCGATGATTTTCCCCCCTTAAAAAATCGTGAGATAATCGCGCACAAACATTCATATATACAGATCAAACTAAGATGAAAATCTTCTCCTTTCTTGAGGCATAATAAAAAGTTACTTTGTTTATTACCTACTTCTATACCTGCGTTTTATCAGCTTAACTAATCTTCTTACAATTTTGCATACGTAGTTGGGAGTACTGCGAACGACATAAGCTAGTGTTTCTCTTGAACACTCGCTTATGTCTAAGCTAAGCTACGTGAGTTTTCACGCAGGCCAAGCCGTGAGTAAAAGCTAGTAATAGTTTTCATTTCTAGCAATAATATGAGCACTATATTCTGGAACTGGCAAGTTATTAAAATGGCGCCCGGCCAGCTATTAGATGTTTTATTTTAATATCTTATATATCACCCACAGGATTGTGAAATATTACGCCTGCCTCCTACTATAGATTAGACTTATTTCTATATTTTATGATGAACTACAATATGATATTAAAAATAATCATAATATTTTTATTAAACTCTTGAACCTAACACAGTTGTTAATCGTGGGTAGAAGAACGTTTTATTATAATTAAAAAAACAAACGGCGTATTGATGTACCTATTTTGTATGTTAACTAAATTAATAATATTTAAAATTTGGTTTTAAATTTATTCATATTGTTTAGAATCGTAGCATTTAACGTTCCATAGTCTCTGCCTACCCCCGTGGGAGACATGCATGAATCCTTGTATGTATGTATGTATGTATGTAGCTGTTAATATTAGACAGTTAAGATGTGTGTCTATCTATCTATCTTTGGGGTCCAAAGGGGTAGGCAGAGGTGCACTCTACATTGTAACACCCACTTTTCACTATTTTTATTATGAGTCCTATGTAAAAGGGAGTGAGTCTATTGCCATATACCGGTAACATATGCAGACTCCGTGCTACTAATGAGATTTTTTTAAAAAACCTAATAATACTTTTCCCGACTCGAGAATCTAACCCCCGGGTTAGATTCCCGAGTCGCACTTGCAACCACTCGGCCAGCACAGCAGCCAAAGATCATTAAGCTAAATATCATATATTTTAATTTATCATTAGAAAAGGTCGATTGTTCTCAATAAAAGGGAACAAATTATGCGCTACATTATAAGCGACCTACGCCATACTTTGCCATAAATAAGGGGCGTCCCGAATGCCAAACTTCGGCATTTAACTACGATATGAAATAACTCGAGCTAGTTACTTGCGCACAATATCGCTCAACTTGCTCTGGGTACGTTCAACGTCACATACTAATTATGTATGGATCATGGATACATAGTTTGTGACATAATGAATTAGTACTTAGAGCTAAAATTAGTACCTATGATGAAAAGTTTTGAGATCTATATATTCTTTATCCTTTTATCTGTTGAAACACCGGTTCCCGATAAAAAACACATTATCCCCGCAACTTTCAACAGACAAGAGGATATATAATATTACTCACAGGTATAACATATAGCTTACATATTATCACGTTATCACCTACAGGCTCGACAGCTCCTCCAGCTGTGAAAAACTATGCAAATTCAGTGTTCCACGCGGACGAAGTCACAGGGACAATATAGTATAATATTTGACGTACATTAATTTTATTCCTTGAAAGTGAAGGTAAAGGAGTGACATTAAACTACATTCATTGTTGTTATTACTTCTTTATAAGAAGAAATTAGACACTTTTTTCAACGTGGGTCTTGCCTTGAGTTCAATTTCTAACGTCGAAATTCTCAAACGCTTCTCAATTTAACTCGCGCTTAAGTATAGTTCTGTCACTACAAATTCTTTGTAAAATGACTGACTTTTTTTAAGGGGGGAAAAGCATCGAATGATTTCTCCCACCTGGGTGAGGTGGGAGGTAGTGTCAGACTCTTACTGACTAAAAACCACCCCGTTCCTACTCCTGCTCTTCGAACCGGGGCCCCGGTAACCCGTTAGGTTCTCCGCGGCTCCGTATCGGCATCAGCCCTATTGGGCCCCATCCGTGGTGGTCTGATGGTTCTTTGAGGCGCGCGCGGAACCCGACGCGCCGTACGCTCGGGTCGGTGCGGCGAGCCAACCATGCTCACCGTCCGCAGGCATGCGCTTACGGTGGCCGGAGATCGTCCCGCGATCCCCGACGCCCAGAGTATCCTTCGCAAAATGATAGAGATGCTACGATATTTAAGTACAACTTAAAATTGAGTAGCCTTTCAGTATTCGGACGTAAGTCTGTCAAGTTACTACACGATTTATAATAATGGCACAAATCCTATTCTGTTATAAAAAACCTTATATTTTGACAAAGTTGTACTATAACATGAATATCTCCGCAATGAGGTACCCTACCAAAAACCAACTAAACCAATCAATACCTTCAATATAAAACACATTTACAGGCAAAACCGTCAAACAGAACAAAGCTTAAAGAGTAACTCAACTCATAACTTAAGCACTTGCGCCCTCAAACATAATCTCCAACTTTATAGGATCCATCTTCTTAGTCACCGAAGTTTGTTATCGATGCAATCAATGCTGGATTGTTGAGAACGACCATGCTTAGGGGAGAATATTCTAAGTCTGCAATGTACTACTTCAATTTCCCTTAACTATGCATCGTTTTATCACATTACGTATTCACGACTCCCAAGGGAACGCAGACTGTAAATGGTCAGCACCATGTCCAAAGATTAAGTTGTGTAGATTGGTTTTTGTGTTTTTCATGGGATAAGCTGGTAAACGAGCAGACGGATGGTAAGCAATCGGCGTCACCCATGGACACCTGGAACACAAGACAGCGTTAGAAGTGCGTTACCGGCCTTACGGGGATTAATAATTTGGGGATTGTTCCCTAATAATATTATCCCTAACAATTATTCAGAGATTTCGGAGATTGGAGAGGCGAGGTGGGTAATTGGGCCTCCTTTAACCTCAATCACATGACGTGAATAAATGCAAGTGTTGTTTCACGTCGAATTTCTGTGAGTCTGTGGTATCACTCCGGTCAAGACGGTCCATTCATGTCGATTGCCGAAGCATGGCATTTCTATACTTAAGGTTTTAAAGAGTTAAATAGGTAGAATAGTGGTGTAACCTTTACGATAGAGATTACATTTGTGACACAAAGACTCATTACAACTTGTCGTTTGACTCAAAAGACTAAAGGAGAATTAATTGATGATGATAATGGCAATATTAGTGATAATAATAAGCCAAATTTTATGTTTTTGTCAGGTACATTATTAATCCCATTGAAAATTGATGCAATACGAATATAATCGATCACATTTTCAAAGTCGGCACAGCAATGTACAGTAAAGTGGGTCACGTTCGTATGGAGAAAAAATGGTATTTGTTTTTAAGTAATAGCGATATAAATATGCCTTATGGTAGTAAGAACTAGTATAGAAAATGAAAACTACAATTATACAGTCTTCCTACGAACTATTTACCTACCCTTTTGAGAAAGTAAGGATGTGATTTTTTATATAAACTCATAACATTGCTCTAAGCTACAAAATAAATAAACACAACATGTTATTTTTAACTACCTAAGTAAAAGGAACTGATGTAGTAAACTTGTAAGCGCTTTTCTTATGTAAAACGGGGATAAACATCAACATACTTAACATATATTAAATATTAATAACGTCGTAATGTGTTCTCACTTTTCAAGGAATTCCTGAAAATGTACCTATTTACAAGGTTCTTTACATTATGTTAGGTACAAAGTAAATTACTTGGTGATATCGAATATTGTAAGACATAATAACGTCACGTTTATTTATTTTCTGAAGGATAAGGCATTTTTGTAAAAATCTGTACCTTCATGAATTTTTAAACCAGACTTAGGATTTTTAGACAATCCCTTAATGATATATGATCATGATCAGCGTCTACAATCGCAACCATAAGACCAAAAAGGCCATTAAATCATTGTTTAAACGTAGTACAGAATTTACGCAAACAAAATGTCGCTTCTACATTAATATGAAATAATCTTTGCCCTAACAGTAAATAGTTGCATTTTAGCGTTCACATTCAGTTCTCGGTAATGCTATTTCTGCATAGAGGTAAGCAAAATGTGCATACGTTAGGTGTTGTGTTGAGTCCCCAGATAATTGCACATTTCGCAGAGATCAGAAAACAATTGGATTTCACTGCAGCTGAAACAATGTTGTTGTTATATGAATACAGTAAATGTGAACTGGGAACATTCGCAGATTGCACGCGATACGCTGGTCTATTGTAGTTATTTTCTAAATTGTAATAATTTAGCTTCAACTTACAACTTCATTGCGATTAAATAACGTGATTTTAATTAATTTTGAATTTAGTGTGTGTTTCAAATTGCTATAGGGCGTAATGATAGCAATATATTATTATGTGTATCGTTTTAGGGTCTGTTAAACATGTAATGTAGCTTCTAATCAGAATATGAGTGGCATACACACTGTATTATTTGAATTTTGGTGACGAAGATCAAAACTAACTTACAAAGTAAATAGTAAGCAATAAAAATAAAGCTAGTGATATCAATAAACGGATTTCGAATAATGATCCGAAATACTTTTTCTGTTCATTCAATTCACAACATAATGGAATAACATAAAGCGAAAGGCAGACACCGATCATTAACTCCATACTACCTTTAGATTGCGTGCGCCAAATGAATAGATCTCTCGTTATCTGGAGGCACCCTTTGAGGCGTACAGCTGATACCTGAGATCTATTATGACGTTATAACTTTCAAAGAACATCTGAGTCCCCAGCGAACTCGTAAGGTTACCCTGATCTCGAACATTTAACCGGTCGGTAGGAGGAAACGATCCGTTGACGTTACGTTGGGACGAAGTTGAATACTCAATATGCTATTTAGGTAAAAGGGTTTATCGATGATGGGAAATTCGATAATACCATCACGCAGCTTTGCGGGCTTTATTCATAATAGAAAATGGGAGTAAACACGTTGATATTCAGCTTGTGTGCGGGTTTTCATGCGGGGTTACGAACCGGGGTACGTATTGTGAAATCCATCAATTTTCATAATAACCCCGTGACTTACGTTTGGTATGAAGGGAACATAATTCTAGTGACGTAGGTACTGATCGATTAGAACGCCTTGCTGAATCCCCGTGTGCTAATAGCGTGGTGGTCAATGTGGTTCCAGAATTATTGGAGCGTGGTTTTACTGATTAATGAAGTTTGTAGTGGTAATGTTTAATGAAAATTAAACCTATGTTTGTGGGTACAAGGTTTATAATATTGTTTAAATGTTAGGTAATCAAAATTTCGACAATTCATTTGCTATTTCAGAATTAATTTTTGTGAAATCAAGCTTTAATATAAGGTACTAGCTGTTGCCCGCGACTTCGTCCGCGTAGATTAATGACTTCTGACAGAATTAAACAGAATCAATTCAGTGCCCAAGTGAGATTTACCTATTTTGAAAACGATTTATCGTAGTTTTAATAAATAAATAATCCCGCAGGGATCTTACCAGTACAGTGTCCGATCACGTAAGGTTTGAGTAATAAAAACTATTCTATCGACTATTGTTGTACCGAATCTCTCTAGAATAAGTTCAGTGGTTAAGAGTTAGAGAGTCCTGGGGCATTGACGCATAGTTCCCGTTCTCGTGAGACATCTGTGAAAAAACTATCATACATTACCCAGGTCCCAAATCATCGTTTTACCGAATTTAATTCAAAAAGAATCAATGATTCTAAATTCAATGGCTAAGAAGATTTATACAAACTCTCATTCCCTATTTTATCCCCTTAGGGGTGGAATTTATCAATATCCTTTCTAAGGAGATACCTATGTCATAGCAACTTTATGCATGCAAAGTCTCAGCCCGATCAATTTAAAACTGGCAAAATATCATACAAACTTTCACCCCCTATTTTACCCACTTTGGGGTGAGAATGTTCAAAAACCTTTCTAAAGGGACGTTTACGTCATAATATCCATCTGCACGCCGAATTTCAACCCGATCGGTGTAAAACTGACAAAGCTTCATACAAACGTTCATCCCCTATTTTACCCCCTTGGGGGTGGAAATTATCAAAATCCTTTCACAGCGGATGCCTACGCCATAACATTTATCTGCATGCCAAATTTCAACCCGATCGGTTTAAAACTGACAATGTCTCATACAAACTTTCATCCCCTATTTTACCCCCTTGGGGGTGGAAATTATCAAAATCCTTTCAAAGCGGATGCTTAAGTCATAACATCTATCTGCATGCCAAATTTCAACCCGATCGGTTTAAAACTGACAAAGTCCCATACAAACTTTCATCCCCTATTTTACCCCCTTGGGGGTGGAAATTATCAAAATCCTTTCAAAGCGGATGCTTAAGTCATAACATCTATCTGCATGCCAAATTTCAACCCGATCGGTTTAAAACTGACAAAGTCCCATACAAACTTTCATCCCCTATTTTACCCCCTTGGGGGTGGAAATTATCAAAATCCTTTCACAGCGGATGCTTAAGTCATAACATCTATCTGCATGCCAAATTTCAACCCGATCGGTTTAAAACTGACAAAGTCCCATACAAACTTTCATCCCCTATTTTACCCCCTTGGGGGTGGAAATTATCAAAATCCTTTCACAGCTGATGCTTACGTCATAACATCTATCTGCATGCCAAATTTCAACCGGATCGGTTTCAAACTGACAATGTCTCATACAAACTTTCATCCCCTATTTTACCCCCTTGGGGGTGGAAATTATCAAAATCCTTTCAAAGCGGATGCTTAAGTCATAACATCTATCTGCATGCCAAATTTCAACCCGATCGGTTTAAAACTGACAAAGTCTCATACAAACTTTCATCCCCTATTTTACCCCCTTGGGGGTGGAAATTATCAAAATTTCCAGTGGATGCTTACGTCATAACTCTAGCATGCCAAATTTCAACCCGATCAGTTAAAAACTGACAAAGTTACATACAAACTTTCATCCCCTTTTTTACCCCCTTGGGGGTGGAAATTATCAAAATCCTTTCTTAGCGGATGCCTACGTCATAACATCTATCTGTATTCCAAATTTTAGCCCAATCTGTCCAGCGGTTTGGGCTGTGCGTTGATAGATCACTATGTCAGTCAGTCAGTCAGTCAATCACCTTTGAATTTTATATATATAGATTCAAATTCGTGAGAAATTGTAAATTAATTATCATGTTTTCGGCTTACGCACGTAACAGTTTGAAAGGTTCACAGCATACTCCGAGTAAGCAGCGCGGCAGTCGCAGCGTCGCGGGTCGCGAAATGCCGCTCATGAATATGAGCCTCTAGCATAGCTTGAAACTAGTTGAGTTCCTCGCCAAACAGTTACATGAATATGCCGAAAACATAATAATTAGCTTAAATATAATTTATTTTAAGGTTGTTACTGTCTCTTATTTGGGCAGGACTGAATGCAAATAACTCAAAGTATGTTATAAATATTTTATTAAATTATCATCTTTACCCAAATCAATTTATCCTAGTCAACTAAGATACACTTACGTGTATTATACAGTTACCTGTATAATACATACAACACTACCTTCCCACGCCATCACAATAGTTACCTTAGATTAGGTGTAAACCAATATCGAGCAATCCAGTCGGTCATCATAATCAATTATGTTGAACGGCCGTCGATTTATATGCTGAGATTAGATCACGCCGAATTATATTAACGTTTGAATGGATGTAGGTGCCTATCCTTCTTGGTCTGTGAAGTAAATAAGGTATTTTGGTAGTAGTTGTTTAGGTCTTTCGTGAATGAAAGACAATATTTTATGACAATAACCACTTATTTTTATTTTTTTTTGTTGAGGAGAAAAAATCATCCAATTACTTCTCCCGCCTGTGTGAGGCAAGAGAGAGTGTCAGACTCTTACTGACTAAAAACCACTCCGTTCCTAATCCTGAACTTTGAGCCGGAGCCCCGGCAACCCGTAAAGTCCTCCGCGGCTCCATATCGGCATCATCTCTATTGGGCCCCATCTGTGGTGGTCTGATGGCTCTTTGAGGTTCTCGGGTCTGGTTTCGGTCGGGCGGCGAGTCACCTGTGTTTGCCTTCCGCAACCACTTATCCTTACATCCTACCAGATTCTAGGTTTAACATACAGTAGGTATATGTGTGTGAAGTGAAATCTTGCAACTGAATTTATAATATTTAATCGAATTTATATACATGTTTAGTTTGCATGACCAAAAAAAGAAAAGCTTTAGCGTAAAAACTGTGTTTGAAAAAGGGATTAGAATGTTCATAGTCAGAATATAAAATATATAAACTATAAACAATCCCTAATGATATTAAAAAATAAACTATACAATTTCCTTATTTTGTTATCCAAGTCCTCCTTCAAGATATTTTGATAGGAATATTAACCTAACACAAACGTACGTACAAGGAAAATAAATGTTTTAATTTATTTCTGCAAATTTTAAATTGTAGATATTGCTTCCGTAAGGAAAACTGAGTGAATCAAACTATTTTATAGAATAAATCCTTTTATCAAAATATCGTTAATTGGCGTTAAATTGGTTGAGGTTAATATAATTTATTTTGAAGATATAATAATTTCCCGATACATCAGGAAGCCTAACACACTGTGATTTTATGACTTAATGTTTTTGCAAATATTAATATTTAATTGATTTATTTATTGTTTGTATCTATATAGAATATTAATGAATGACGCAGCTTTTGACCAGATATCGTAGGTATATCATAAGATTTTATTAAGACTTGAGCTAAAATTATGGTAATTTATTATTATATAAATAATTGAAGTAATCACCGGAGATAAAACTAGATAACGATATGTTCAACCCGAGTCTTCTAAAATTAACAATATCGAGTCTCAATAAGAACTTATTATTACCTATCCTGCATAGAGGTGTGTTCAGAGGAATAGCACATGAAAAGTATTATATCTACATATCTTCGAACACATAATACCTACATATTGATTGTATTTATTGGATTCTTGACATTATAACCCGCCTTGCTTAGAAGCTTAAATTAATGAAATTTGATTATTTTTTTATTTTGTTTATGTGGTTATGTTTTCGTAATGTGAATTTGCTTGTCTCTTTTTTTGTACCTATATTAAATTTAGACACAATGTAAATGGTTAAATGAATAAATAAATAAAAATGAAAATAATATTAAGTACCTAAGTCCTAGGCTTCGACGATAATTGTTAGTACCTATCAATTAAAGTTCGAATGTTTTATCTCGTAATCATTTGATCTTATTGAATATGTCACCCTGAACGTAAATGCTTTTAAGATAGCAATCTACTAGGCAATAACGTGAGAAACAGTTGAACACTGTAATTGGCATAAAGGAACTATTTAAGTATACTACCTATGTTATTGTTGAAACATATTTTATCCATTTTATTATACCTATTAATTTTATTTATTTATTTATTTCTTCTTCACAAAATACAGTGAATGGCGGACTTAATGCCTTAAGGAAGGCATTCTCTTACAGTCAATCATAGGGAAGTGCAGAGAAATGAAGTGGTTGATGCGAAGCCAGAAAACAATAAAAAAAAAAAAGTTATGTAATATGTATACTACACACATAAATACCTATAGAATAAATATATTAATACAATATTTTACTCACCTATTCCTATTTTTGGTACTTCTTTTGCCTTGAAAACACGTCATTTTATTTTTACGGGAGCGGAATGGTAAGGAATGGGTACCTACGTTTTTTTTAAGTGGGGAAAATCATCGAATGACTGCTCCCGCCTGAGTGAGGCGGGAGGGAGGGTCAGACGCTTACTGACTAAAACCACCCCGTTCCTAGGGTACCTACGTTTAGGAGGAGTTTAAGATGAATTACTGACATCGATTGTGATTAATCGACAAAGAATCAAAACTGTCACTTAATGCTTATTATCCTCGAACCAGGACCCAACCTTTATATCATATCGTGTATAAAACTTCAGTGCACCATAAAAATTATCCACTACACTAGATTCTAAATATCACTGGCAATAATACTCAACTTTACCTCACAAACATAAGGCTTAATTTCCAACATAAAATACCTAAAAATGTCACATCTTTGTACCTTTTTTCTGAAAAAAGTACAAGGATCCGTGAACGGTATCTAAATCTGAGAGGACATTGCCTCTCAGACCATTTCACAGTATATTTGTGCCGCTATCCGGTCCTTTGACAGCAACGTTACGAAGCAACTTTTTGTTCACAGAAATAAATACCCAAACTTTAATAACTGGTAAGGGTTTGTGCAGATCAGATACATTTTTCTGCTATGGAAAAAATCTTATTTAGGAAAAATACACCGAGTAGTTGATTCGATTGCATCACATGGTAATTTTTGTTACTTTAGACCCCTTTGATGTATCACTATCATCATAATCATCTCCCGAAAGACGTTAATTGCTGAACAAAGGCAAGGACTGCACGGTTGGCGCGGTGACTGGGCAACTGACTGCCGCGTAACGTGTCCCGGGTTCGATTCCTGCACGGAACAACTCTTTGTGTCTGTGAACTTGTATGTTTCTAAACTCACCCACGACACAGGAGCAAATCTTAGTGTGGGGCAACGTTTTTAATGATAATAAAAAAGTGATCCCTCTTAGTCCTTTAACGTATGTCTTATGTATTAGGTCTCGAGGTCTACCGACCTCATGGAGTCACTGATTTCACACAAGAGGGGTAACACTTGATCTTCTTGAGTCTAGTCAGTCAGTAAAAATACCCTTGTTTGTCAGTACAAACAAGGGTATTTTTACTGACTGACTACATCCAAACGACTACAAACAAGGGTATTTTTACTGACTGACTACAGACATGTGCTGACTACATCCAAGGGCCAGTGCCCTTGTATGTAGTCAGCACATCAACCTATGTATGTAATCGATTTTCAACCTAATTACCATGCTTTAAAGTTGGAATTATATTACAGATTAGGATATCATGATGTGCTTGTGTCTATACATGGTAAGGTAAGGCTTACCAACATACTCTGAATGCATTACCAACTTTTTATTTAATAAACCTTTTCATACGTTCAAAACGATGCTTCATGAGTGAGTTGCAATGCTTTTATTTAGTGTTACAAACTGCAGTTTCAGTATAAACCCTTTCATTGAATTTTATTAATAAACTCTGTGTAGCAAAATATCTAAAACTGATGTTTATAAAGCTGAGAATTTTGTTTGAACGAGCTTATCTTTTGAATGAAGGTTAAATTTGTACGGAAAAATGTTTCTGAATTGTGTAAAGGGTATTCAATCTAAGCTATGATAATTTTATATATGACATATCGTGTCTATTCTTCAAAGAGACTAATAGGGGTGTATTAAAAGTAAATCTTCTTTTCAGCAATGATGCTGCACTGGTCATTACGAGATATAACTAAATAAGTTTCGAAAATTCTACTAACTGCCTACTAGCCATGATTGCACCTTCATGCTATTAGGGAAAATTTCAAAATCGAAGAACTAAGTGACTTTGCTCAACATGATACACATCACATTACGGCACTTAATGCCACTGTATAATGTAACATCCACCTTTCACTACTTATATTATGACTCCCATGTAATATGGGGTGAGCCTATCACCATATACCTGGCACAAATCCAGTCTCCGTGCTATTACTGAGAATTTTTAAAAATCCAGTAATGCTTTGCCCCATTCTGGAATCGAACCCACACTTGCGACCACTCGGCAAACAAGGCATTCTACTTTGCTTAACTAGTAGATATTAACTATCAACTTCTATGATTATTGGCCCATAAACGTATGATTGCTTGACTATCGAATCAGTCAATATTATAAGAGTCTATCCAAAAAGTTATTTCATCTAACTAACACTTTACCTGTCACTTAAACACATAAAAAGTTCTTTACATAATGCATTATAAAGATTTTTAGGTTCGATAAAAATCTATTTCACATTAAAACATTACCTAAATGCCTTTGAAAGTAATTTTAATATATAATTAAGGTCAAATTACACAAGAAAACTCATGCGCAACTAGACAATGGCGTTGGAACTATAATTTATTTAAAAACTGACACAACATTGTTAACAAGAGCTGTAATTTTTATGTCCAATATATTAAATATTAGATGTTTATCTATGACTTCTAGGTAATAATATTTTATTATTTGATCTAAATCAAATTAGGTTGGTTTATGGATTGTAATCGTGATTAATGAATGCCCACGCAGTATTGAGTTAGATGCAAAATGCAAGGAATATGAAAGGAATTTTGTGTGTTGACAGTAAATAGAAGAATTTGTTGTTGAAATATTGTATGTTGATATTACGATACAACAGAACGAATGTTAAAGCGATTACAATCTAGATTCCTTACACGTATTATTTTTTTATGTTAAGTAATTTAAGATTATAAAACCAAAGATATATGTATAAAAACAAAATATTTCATAGACCTTTTCACAATGAATTTCAGATGAAAGCCTAAGCGGGTTTTAGAGATAAAATTACAGCTACTACTCTCTGTATGTATCTATTCGATTTAGTATCTATTGGTATAACAAATAACAAATGAACTAACAACTAAGTTACCAAGGATATTGACAGTTGTATTGCAAAGTCTTCATACACATCATCACACATTTACAAATAAAATATTTTCATTAAACGTTATAATATCAGCAATATATTTTTTATAAACATACGTAAGTACGAGTTTGAAAATTGTCCCTGAAATCAATTTAATAGTCGAATGTAATAAAATGTTTTAGCAATAACAATAATGTTAACTTCCCCAATCAATTGTGACTATTATTGACTGTTTAATAATTATAATTATTTATGGCTATATAACTAATAAATTTAAAAGCGCACAGGCGCTACGTATGTCATTGTCAATATTATAATATCAGTATTTCTGTTATAAAGCAACGTTTACATGTAATAGATGGGCATAAATTAATAAAAATATTGCTACAACAATCAAGAAGTTGATTTAAACAAATTGAATATAAGATGGATCTTATAGATCTTATAAATTAATTACCTTTCTGTTAATAATAATATTTTTTTATAATATATATCTAATAATAATTTTATTATGATCTTAGTCATAAATATGATTGATATTGTACAATAATTTTTATTATGTTCAAATAAGTTAGATACTTGGTTAATAAAAAAGACGATAATTTTAAAGAAAAACTATACTAAGGTTCAAGCTAGCTTTAGTGCCACTAAATAAATATATAAATATAATATAAATATATGTATAATTGAATATCACGTCTATAATTCAGTTTTTATTACCCAATCATAAGTAGTGTGTAGTCTACTTTAAAACATGCGCAATGCCAATAATATTATAACTACAATCATTAAATTGTAACAATCGTAAACGTCAAAATTCGATACGCTTACATAATTATTAACTCACATCTATATTATTAATATATTTATTGAATGATACCAATTTTTATAGGCATGTATGATTTATGATTGCTTTTATGAAACGTTCGGTAGATACTTATTTCAATTGGTTTCATAATTATGTGTGTAATGGTACTATTGCAATTGTTAGTTAATACTTTTTATTATTAAATACCTATAACTAAATAACATGTATAAGAACATACGTGTATAATTCTATTATTGTTCATAATAAAATTTTGTTATTATAATGTTGTTGTAACCCTGACGAGGCTTGACGAACAATCTAAAAAACATGTAGTTATCTGATAACTAAAAAATAAATAAACCTCAAATATAAAGTTATGTGTTGATTGGACAATCAACAAAATGACATAATCATGAAATAAATAAAAACAATCAACAAATACGTTAAACCACAAATTCGACTTTTAAATTCGCTTCGAGCTTTTTTAGGAACTAGTGTTTGCAAACAAAGTCGAATCAGAAAAAGTTAATTTCTCATGAAACTGAAAAATAGTAATAATTATCTACAAACGAATTTTTAGCAATTTGACCGTTATTTTTCGAATCAGCTGAGAAAACTGACCGATTTTGGAAAACTTCGATGAGGATTTTCATCACTACGGCATACGAATATTTATTTAGGGCAAACACAAGGTAGATAGATTCCATAAAAAATCGATAGTTTTTAAAAAGACTGAAGCGGTTTATCTCAATAAACCGCTCTGGCTCACCATAAACTCGTTGACTATGTTAAGTACCTACCTATTCATTGCATTGCATCTGAATATATCGATAGTGTCTTTGTAATCGAATTATATATTTTTTAATTACGAAAAGAAAACTGACTGCTTCGTTGGCCGAGTGATCGTAAGTGCGACTGCCGGACAAGGGGTCTCGGGTTCGATTCCCGGGTCGGGCAAAGTATTACTGGGTTTTTAAATACTCTCAGTAGTAGCACAGAGTCTGGAATTGCGCCAGGTATATGGCAATAGGCTCACCTCCTATTACATGGGACTCATAACATAAATAGTGAAAAGTGGGTGTTACATTGTACAGTGGTATAATGTCCACCTCTGCCTACCCCTTCGGGATAAAAGGCGTGATGATGATGTAATGAAAAAAGAAAATGATTGTTTGCCGCCAAAGCGTAGAAAAGCTATAATGTTCTTTGTAATTGGTATACCTAACTGGAAGTGTCTACGTCGATTTTATATTTGTATACTATCTGTTTCAAAATCATGTTGTAACATAAAAACTTTTACAAATCAATGTATAGAAAACAAAAATGGAAAACCGAGTCCAACTTACCATAAAAAAAGGTAGCATCGAAGGAATG